GTCAGGGCATGGCTAACTCACAGATCCAGCCCTTAAACAACCTCTGGGCTGATCTAAGTCAGGGTATACCTAACTCAGTCAGGGCACGACTAATGGACTACTTCAAAGATACAGGGCATTAAAGCAAAACAGAGATAGAAAATATATAGATTTTCGTGTGCTTGTCTTTCTTTTGTTCCTAAGCTTGCTTCCCTCATGCTGTCATGCAGCTCCAAGCATGTTTATATCATAGTCAGAATATTAATTGTACCATCACTCTATAATTCTACATAAGCAACTATTGTATTATTTTCGAATTCTCTTTCCTGTCCAAATTAAATATTAATTTGGATCGTTTCCATTCACATTCTTTTGATGGAAAACTATGACTTATGGAATCAGTTTAGTATAGTTTGGGATGATGTAATTAATCTGCAATAGGACTACCAGTTGTCCAATTTGGAAAAAATTAAATTCAAAAAATTCCTCTGACTGCCAAATTGGACTCGGCTTATCAGCATCTTCCAATTTTGTCGGTCCTCAGAATTTTTTTCATCCAATTATTTCCAAATTGGACAACATGTAGTCCTATAACCTATAAAAACTTACCCGAAAAACTTGTGTGTTTACAGAAACATAATATTCCAGTCAACACAAGTTATGCCGTAGCACCCCATCACTCCGGGGTTTATCCTACGCACGATCTGTTGTATGACAGTTGGAAGGTACACTATAACCTGAAGGCCACCTCCACAGAGGAGTATCCTCATYTGATACCTGCACACAAGAGGAGAGGATTTATTTACAGTGAAATTAAGGTTGGTATATGCTGCCTATAATATAGTGGGACAGKACTGAAGGAGTAAAATGGAAGCTGGGATTCACCTTTTTAGGGGCTCGGAAATGTGATTTTATGCACTGGGAATAGGATTATYGGAAAAAAACAAGAAAACATTAAAAAATTAGGAGTTGGATCGAGATTTGCAGAGCAACACATAATCTGGGACTATGGGATTTGGTCTATGGGGCTGGGAAATAGATGTAGGACCSCCTTTAGGACCCATATATATTAGTAAGTATAAATGTATGTTTATTTATTAACGTAGATACAATGGAGCTTACAACAAAAATTGTTAGAAAGTKCATGTGTTAATCTAGGATCTGAATATTCAACATATATGTTGTAAAGATTTATCTAGAAAAATATTACATAAAAATAGTGTAGGGTATTGATTGATCGATAAGACTCAGCAAGAGAGGTGGT